GTGCCTCACCGCGCGTCCCCTTCTCTCTCCGCAGCCCTGACAGTGTCTCCCACGCCGGTGGTGTTTTGTACCATTTTCTTTTTTTTTCCCCTTTTTTTTTTCCGATTTCGATTTTTTTCCTTTTTTTTTATTTTTTTTGCCTCTGTTAATACTTCTATTTTTTTATTATTATTATTATTATTCTTGTTTTTAGCGACAGCTTTCAAACCTACTTTGGGGTCTTAAAACGAAACCGTACACCATTTCACTGTGGACATTACACCCTCTTACAGATATGGGAGACATGGGAGACCCACCAAAAAGTAAGGCGGAATCTTTACCGTTGTTGGAATAAATGTGCTGTCTATTGTAATCGTCTCAGGCAGACGAACTGCTAAAGTGGTGAACTTCATTTGAATGGTAGAGAAGGTGCCTTTGTTACCATGCCTGCATGCTTGCTCTGTCGTAGCCTTGTATGTTAACAGCCTGGGGTCCTACTCTTTTTTAAAGCTTGGGGAGCAGACAGGATTTTGTTGGGATCTCCAACGAAGGAGCCTTAAATTCTTCTCGTGATAGACTGCGGTGAGGCTGTCTGACTATCCAGCACCTAGTCGGTCTAGGAATATTAACATTAGACTTGCAAAAGAGAGCAAGTGACGACCGTAATGATGCTTGTTCTTGCTAGAAGCCTCGATTCCCTTCTTCTGAGGGAAAGGGCTCAGTGGGAAGTGCACCCCACCATGCTTCATCTTTTCCAGTCAGAGCCTCTTAAAATACGAAATGAAACACATAGGTACTCTCCTCGTAAGGCAGGGCGTTCAAACAAGTCAACAATAAAATAAAAATTGAACAACGTGGGAGTTTGGAGTTTTGATTCCGTGCAAGGTTTTTGAAATTAGGACCTTCACCCCAAAGATTCTTCACATTTGCATTTTTAGCATATGTTCTGCTTCCTTTCTAAGGGAGGCAAGGTTTTGATGGCACACTACAATTACCATCCAAAAGTGTAATATTCCTTAAAAAAACAACCTCAAAAACCCCAACAAACGCCCCCCCCCAAATATACAAACAAACAAAAAAGGCAGAAACCAAACAATGCTCCCACAATATGCTTTATAAGGGAATGACATTAAAAGTGTGTTTATCTCTGTAGGAGAGTAAACGGTTAGTCAATCATGTATTTATTTTCATTTCAGAAAAACGTCTGATTTCCCTATGTGTTGGTTGCGGCAATCAAATTCACGATCAGTATATTCTGAGGGTTTCTCCGGATTTGGAATGGCATGCGGCGTGTTTGAAGTGTGCAGAGTGTAATCAGTATTTGGACGAGACCTGTACGTGCTTTGTTAGGGATGGCAAAACCTACTGTAAAAGAGATTATATCAGGTACGCCATTTACGTTGTTTAATTGTTCGGTGAGATTTTATTTTTCTTTTTAACTTTATAAATTAGACCGAGAAATTAAGAGGGAAAACTGTGAGGAAGCGGGTAAAAGATAATTGGTATGCCTTTATGTGTTTTCCCATGAATAGACCTGCGAGGAAAAAAGTTAGTAGTGAAGTTTTTTTATTTCTTCTTTTCAAATGCAGATATCTGTATTCCTAGAACTAGGCTCGGGACCGTGTAGGATCTTTCAGAGGACTTTGGCAATGCATCCTGTGATTCTAACCAAGGGGAGAATCGTAGATAACGAATAATATTTTCAGTAGCGTAGACACTATGATCAACATGGAACTGATCACTTTCTAGGACAACCTGAGAAATGCATCTCTGTTTCTGCACAGGCATAGTGGCATTCAAAAGAAAGGCACTTCAAGCATGTATGCCGTAAACATAAATACACGAGTAGGGGAAAAAAAAAATAAAAAACTCCTTCTTAAACTAGGCCTATCAAAAACAAAAAACAAAAAGAAAACAAAACCAACCCCCAAATTTCCTTCGGACTGGAGGATGCTTTTACGGGGACGTTAAAACCTAGACAGAAATGTTTCTTAGCTAAAATAACTGACATTTAATCTTTTTTAAATATTAGCCCCTTTGGTGATATCTGACTGGCTTTTCTTTCTTATCTTATCTGTACTGATGAATTAGACAGAGCAGATCAAATTGCCCATCATCTGTTCGCGAACAATTGGGTATATTTAGATAATGGAACCGCTTCCTTCCTCACATTAAAATCTGGTAACTGATAAAATGTGAGAGTTGCCAATGCTGACACTATAGAGAAACGAAAGGAGGAATTTCGAGTGTGTTTATTATTTGTGCTCCTGGGTCATGCTGATCCGTTTCAGTGTCGCCTACTGGGTTTGCCAAATCATAAGTTTGTGTGACACTGAGGTATGAACAATTTTATTTTCTGCAGAAAATTTTGGAAGGAAAGCACCTAGCCATCTAAGATATCTTCTGATTTCTGTATAATTCTGAATTGAAATAAAACCCTCGATTCCTTCCTTCTCTAGTGCACAATTTATAAGCAGACCATTCCTTCAAGCCATTGTGAGATTATTCTCCAAGTTCTAAAATGGCGAAAGCCAGAGCTTGTTTTCTTTTTTTAATTCTTTACTTTTAAAACAATGCTGGAACCGTTCTCTTAAATGTTGTCCTTTCTCTAAATTCAAATGAAAGGAAAACATTTGGACCAAAATGTGTTCACTTACCTTTTTATAGAACTAAGCAGAAGAAATTTGAGCAGAAGAAAAAATCAGCTCTTTTAAATTAATACGGAATACATTTAATTTGCTACAATTTAAAAAGGAAAAAGTACATTACATGCAAGATGGCTTTGAATTAGACCATGAGCCAATCTCTATGTGTCAAACCTGTGGGCAACCACTGTGCAACTTTTGTACCTATGAATGCACCTACTTTACGATCACTCTGTTCTTTTGCTGTTCAGCCGTTTGTTTGTGTTTTTTCCTTCTCAAAACTGTGTAATTCGGGCATATGTAGTTCTGAACATAGGATTAGTGCACTTCTATAGCCATAAGAGCTAAAGAAGTGTATACTCACAAGCATATATTACAGACTGTCTCTCTAAGGAAGTATACTGGTGAGGAAATTGGTGGGGATAAATAGTAGCTCAGTTTTAGGAACAGCTTTCGCAGTTTATGTACCAGCACATTTTTCAGTGCAAGTACCCATACATTTGTGGCCAGGTGTTAATTTTAATCGTATCAAGGACTTCTGGCTAATAAGCATCCTGTGGGAGACGGCAGAGTGTGCAGTACGACACCAGAGTTGGAGCATTTTCTTATGTTTGTCTGCTGGCGGGTGAGCTGTCGTCCTCTCCTCCATGGGAGACTAGGAGCCCGCCACCCACTTCAGAAAATCATAATTTGCTTTGTGGGGCTGTCAGCGAGAGGTTGCCCTCCCATTCCTATCAGAGCGTTTGAGCCCCGGCTCAAGGTGGGAGAGTCAGGAGGAGGAGAGACGGGGCAGGGACGCGGAGGTAGAGACAAGCTGCAGAGTCAGAGCACCGAAACTGCCTTTTTGTTGGGGGCGGGAGAGAGGATTTACGCTGCTGTACGTGTAAGCTCGAGGAGACGTGTGTTATGCTTATATTGTTGTATTAAATTAAGCTGGTGAGAGGAGCCCAGGGGAAGAGAGCCGGCCCTGGCAGTTTCCCCTGCTGGGTCCCGGGGGCTGAGTTGACGGCAGCCCGCACACACATCAAGCGGCGCAAGTCTTGAGTGGGTTCCGGGCGAAAAGTATCACAATTTGGTGAAGCTGGCACCTTTGTGTCACGGAGGGCAGCTTCGGCAGTCTCGCCTTCCCCTGGTGTGCCCGGGCAGTCTAGTTCAGACCCAGGCCAGGCTAGGTCAGGTGAGGAGGCAAGGAGAGGGCAGGGATGGCCCCACTCCTGCAGCAGCCCGAGCGCTGGGGCAAGAGGGAGAGGTTGGATATCCTCGGGAAGAAACGGGGCCGGTTTTTTGTTTCTTCCTACACCTCTGCCTCCCAACTCTCCTCTTTCACCGGTGTGTTTGTGTCCACTCCGCCTTTTATGGCACGGACTTCAGGGCACCGACTGAGAGTGAATCCGGCTTGTTCCTTTTCTCTTCTGGCTTCTGTATTTTCCATGCTTTTTAAAGCAGCGGATTGCGTGTGGCGCGTCTACGCGGGGCCAGGGGCTGCCCACGAGCGGGAGTGAAAACCTCTTTCTTTTTCCCTTTCCTTTCTCCCCCCTCCCCCCCCGCCCCTTCCCTGCCCTCCCCCTTCCCCCTCCCGTGCTCTCCCTGCTTCCCTCCCTTCTTCTTCTTTCTGGGCTGGGCCCTGCTCAGGTTATACGGCATCAAGTGCGCCAAATGCAGCATCGGCTTCAGCAAGAATGACTTCGTGATGCGCGCCCGCGCCAAGGTGTACCACATCGAGTGTTTTCGCTGCGTGGCCTGCAGCCGCCAGCTCATCCCCGGCGATGAATTCGCACTGCGGGAGGACGGCCTCTTCTGCCGGGCGGA